GAACAAAAGACAGTTGTATAACAACGCACAATCTGGGCTCTGTTTACAAGGCTGCAGGCCTGGCTGACATACTCAGGCGTCAATGAAGGTCACCTGTCGACTTAGAGTAGTGCCTAAAGATTACTTGGTGCGGCTATAAACGACCGTTAAATGGAATGATGAATTTTTGAAGGATTCTGAAAACGGAAAAAAATGATAGTCATGCCGGCCCAGCATCATCAACGTTGAAAAATGCCCCGGCACGAAGTGGTTAAGACAAGTTAAAAATGCCAACTTATTACACACCTGCAGATTCTAAAATTAAACCAACCCCCTCCCCCCAAAAAACATTAAGGAAAAAGGTGGGGCAGGGAATAGCAACATTGGTAAGGGTGCCCTTTGAGTCACATCTGATTGTACTGTGTCGGTGGTATACTGCTTATGAATATTCTGCTTAAAAATAATAATCAAGTTAATACGTTGAATTCAGTGAGTGTAAAATTAGAACTGAAACTATAAACTGCACAAGTAAAGACAAGTAAAAAAAAAATGTCCCCCACATTTCTGCCCAAACATAAGCTAAATGCATGCAATGCAAAATTACCAATTGAGAAGAAGTACCTGTACAAGCTAAATGAAAAATTTCAATAAACACAGAAGAAATATGTCAGTATTGCCCGGGGTTTCTTTTTTGAACTACAAGAGGTCCTGGATTAGATGACTTGTTCTAGATTACAGCACAGGGCAAATAACATGTACATGTAAAATGACAACTACATGTACATGTATAGTTAGCTACTCTGCATATAGTTTGACTAAAAGCGCCTTGATGATAGCTGTTTTGGAATATCTAGTTGACCATTTGGGACCAGGCCTAGGCCCCACTGGTTATCAAGAGCTGATTTCATTCATCACGGAACCATTCACATGAAAATAATTGTACGAGATTTGAAGGACCATGTACGGTATGCTGCGAGAATTGCAGCTAACGGGCAAGTTCGAGCTCAAACTATACACCAGTCGTCATGCTTTTTAACAATGTGCAACTACAATTCAGTTACACTCGGACTACCCTAGTTAGGCTATTTTTCAAAATGTCATTATTCATGACATTTCACCGTTGGCTGCGATTTTCTGAAAGTTTTAAGTATTTGCATCAATATTTTCAGTGCTTAAATTTGACTTAGGACTGCAGGGAAAAAAATACTGTGCCCATGTACAGTGTACTGAAATCTCCCCAGAAAAAACTACAAAATTACAAAAATAAAGCATGGAAATAAGGACAACTAAAATGGTGCAGGTGTTTCTTTCCCCCAAGCCAAAACCCAGTATCTTGTGCACGACAAGGGATGCATACATGCAACACTGCTGCAGCACCTGCATCTCACTGCAGGCACTGGCATCACTGGCCTTGTGGCATTTATGGAGGAAAAAACCCAAATGTATACATGTACATACAGTGTACACTGTACATGTACATGTATACAGTCAAGTCTGGCAATGCAGTAACCATGTTTCGGCTGCTAAATCTAAATCTAGTCCAGAGTACTCTAGGCTAAATCTAGGCTGACTATTATTGTCCCCTTTTTGCAGTCACCAACGAACAAATGTGACGATGGCCAAGTTCTATACGCTCCAGAGCACTTCACCAGCGAAGTTTAAACAAATGTGCGATCCATGAACAAATTTTGCACACCCCCGGCCCCCATCAACCGAGACATGAACAATTAGGCCTACATCATAATTTCGTAGAGCAAGGACGTAGGCCTATATTTAAAATTAATAAAAAAGTATCGGGATAGTGGTCTTATTCCTCCATAGTAGCACTATAATGTCAGTGACCCACTGAAAACGAACTTTTACTCACCTATCGCCAAAGTGGCACATTCAGAAAGGATCACTCCAACAACCAAGAACGCCACTTCCGACCGTACGATTCTCATCATGCTCATCTTGGCGAAGAGTACGGGCGTAACGCACTTGCACAATTTTCTTCAATATTCTGATGTGGAGGTCGTTATCGACGCTCGCTGAAGTTATGGGTATAGTATGGCGGTAATTTCGTGAAACAATCGGCACCCGATTGGTCACCCGACCTACACTATCGAGGCATCGTTCTGCTGGTGGCCAGCTGATGAAGCAAGCGTGCCGTGTGTAGGGGGCGGTAAACTATGTGCCGAGGGGCTTGGCTGGGAAACCGCTTGGCTTTGGTGTCAACAGAATTAGAAACAAGTGTGCTGAAGATAGGCAGTGTGCAACGGCCTACATGTATATCATGTACATTTTATCTGTTGGAGAGCTTCTTCAAAGTGGCTTTCAAATATACCGCTCCTAGATTTTTTGCCAGCTAGTAGCTTGATAACCTAACTATATAACATAATGCGCTCAGAGAAAAGGAATTGTTTAAACTTAATATTTCTCATGTTCTGGTTCAATATCACAGCCCTGGTTAGCCCAGGTGGACTCCCTAACCGTACTACTACGTTCCGGAGGGACTCCAGGATATAAAGGGTGCAAAATCGGGCGAAAAAAAATTTGTAACTAAACTTTTTAACACTTCTACCGTTTCCAAGGAGCCAATTTCACGTCTGTAACTGATATGCATCCTTATCCCCACAGCTGGTGGGATAAGAAATTCGACACATCACTACCAAAGACAAAAACGGGAAAATAAAGTCAGACGTAACGTTAATTCTGGCCACTGTTGTGGACTGTTTTCAGCCGTCCTCCAGTGTAGTTCGTAAAGGTGTGCGCGCAACTACCTGGCGCACGAGATTCCGAGCTGCGTACACGTACATCGAAACTACGTGTTCAGACTGACCATGGAGGAATAAAACACAATTCCTCCATGGTTTAGCTATCTGTCAATTGCTCCAAAATCTAACTTGTCACAGCCAATTACCACTTCAGTCTGCTTATTGTATGTTTAGTTTACGAATAACAAAGGAAAGGCCGATCAGCAGCATGATTTGTGCATGATCGCCACTTAGCGCACGTGCGCACGCCAGTACTACCTCTGCATATCGCATGCCGTGTTCCCGATCAGTGTAGCATCGCTCTCGCCTGTTCATCACGATTATCATGCCTGCAATGTAATCCTCTTTTTTATTTCTCAATTATCAAGATAAGTTTCTGTATACTACAATATTGTGTATTTATACATCTTTACCTGATAAAAACTATACAAACAAATTAAACACGTTAAAAACTTCAAAGAGATCGTTGACGAACTTGCTCCCGTACAAGAACCCTGCACATGCATGTACAAAGCCTTCTACACTAGCCGAGGTTATTCTTACAAAAATAGCAGGATGTGTTGCAAATTTATGCTTATCAACCAAAATATAGAGCAGAACAAAATCTGAATATTTTAGCGGTAACCAATGGGGGGTTAATTGGTCAGTCTGAACATGGAGGTAGAATCACATTCTACCTCTATGGTCTGAAGTCCCCGATCTGACAAAAACAGAACTGCCTTTTTTTATATCGTCTGATCTCGACGGCACCCGGGTTAGAGCCGGGTACCAGTCACGGCCTCCGTGTAGCGCGCGCGGCAGGCGTGCAACGGACCCTGACTGGAAACCGCGCACGCGTAGTGCGTGCACGCAGCTCGGATTCTGCGTGCACTTTGCAACTCAAGAACGGATGAATTACGTCTACAAAAGTAACGTTGTCTCTCACTTATTTTCCTCGATTTTGCAGGCCATGGTTCGTTATGAAGTTCCTAAACCCCCAGACGGATAGATAAGGCCACGAAGAACTTGTAAAAGTTGAAAAATTAGTTTTTTCAACAAGGTAAACCAAGAACAAATTAGAACCAATTTTGTGATCGTTTTGTACACAACTTTTATACCCGGACGTCAGTCGTAATGCATGATGAAATGAAGACAATGTGGTCCAACCAACCTGGCTAAGCCCTGGCCCTGGTCGAAGTGATCGACGTCTGGTGGAATTTCGTGAGCAACATATAAGTAACGTGCGTGCGACGCACAGTATTACGTGTTAAGAGGTGAATTTGAATGTCCATCCTGAAAATCTTAACTTTTTTTCGTGTTTTCGTAAGTGAGGTCGATTGTCAGCAGAGTCAGTTTCACTTTACTTTGTCTTCAACCTAAAATTAATTAAGCAAAACTTTTTCCGGCGGAACTGTTTTTGTCAGAAGAGGGCGCCATGCTAATAGATTGGTGGGTTTAAAATTCAAGATGGCAGCCTCCGTTGTGAAATATTCATTACATTGGTAGGGCTAGGGCCGGCCAGGTAAGTTGACATTGCACCGTCAAGGGCCGTGTTTGTTTCGGACGGATCGGAATCGCCGTCAGTGACCCGGCGTTGGTTTATGGACAAGAATCCGCGTAATGGATTGCACGAACTAGCTTTGAGATCACTGATTTCTATCCAGATCAGTGTGGTGTGTGCTGGTGTAAAATAATTGATAAAATTAAAAATGATAGGCCTACAGCCGAGTATCACGGACATATAAAAAAACCTGGACTTGCAACACCTTTGTATGAAATACAAGCCAACCAGTGGCCATTTTACCGAGCTGAATGCCTAATACAAATGCGCAGTTTGGCTCGCTTCCATTGACGCCAGGGAGAACAAAGGCGGCCATTGCCGGGCAAACTTTGTAGGAGCTATATATGCAATCACACGTATGAAGCCAAACCACGTTTCACAACCATGCACAATGCATGACATCTAGATGCTCAACCAACCATAAAAACTTCACGTGTGAAATTAGGCTCCAATAACATTCAGGCTTTATTTTCCTTAAAAAAAAACCTCCCTGCCCTCAATTCCGATCCGTGATTTGAACCCACACTCCATGCATCACAAACCATTATGCCGTAACCGCTTGACTACCGCAATTCACACAAATTGATGGTGTTTTTACTGTTGATATAACGATGAACGGCTGCAACGCAAGGCTAATACACATTGGGCATGCGCAATACAAACACAACCATCGTGGTTTGGCTTCTTATGTATGGTTGCGTATATATATCTCCTTTGTAGTCGGCTCGGTAAAATGGCCGCAAGTGGATTCAGTGATCCCCATATAAGCTGATTAAGGGCATTGCGAGTCCAGATTTTTTTTATATTCATCCGTGCCGAGTACTGTAGGTGTACTATGATGTAGGCCTAGATATTAAGTCCAACTTGGCTCGTTACATGCACAGTACCCTTGCATCAGGAGTAATTGTAGACTACATGCTACCCCTGTAATCACTGTAACTATAGAGGTCTTTTCCCACCTCCATGCTGTAACTGCTTCTCATTTCAATGTGCCTGAGTCTTCAAATGTATGAAGTTGGTGCATCTTTTTGAAGAGAAGTTTGGTTTTTGTGGAAATCACCAGCATAATCAGGCCAAGAATCAATCGTGCGAGCATGTGCGGCCAAATTATAACCACTATACCATTCATTTATCAATTCTTTGGCAACATCTGTTTCATGTTGCCCATCATGCCTATACATGTACATGCATTTACCCAAAACAATGTGTGTTTTGTTTGTACATGGTGTATTTTTTTGGTGTTTGGGCTGGCATCACTTATTAATAATATCATGTACAGTATCCTCAAGAATAGGATGACACCATAGAAAGTCACACGCCCTTTTCATTGTGAATGGGTGTGTGGGCATATACAGTATACACGTATGTACTGTATTATGATTACAGTATTTTGGCACCAGGTTGAATGATAATCAGTATGATTTTCAGACAAATCACTCAACTTTCCATGCAGCTACTCAGTGATTGATAAGATATACTACTGCCTAGATACAGCCTCTACTAAAATTGGTATTTTTAGATCTTTTGAAAGCCTCCAATACTGTCGATTACTGTATGATATTCGTCTGCGGAAACTTCAATACTAAGGAATTAAGAGGGCGCCTTGGATTGGTTGAGAGGTTATTTTACCAATGAACAGCAATTTGTGGTTATTAGGAGTACTAAATCATCCTATCATAAAATAACGTGGTGTGCCTCAAGGCTCTATTCTGGACCCCCTCCCTTCTTCTATTTAAATCAATGGTTTCGATAGAACTTCAAATGCTCTATCTTTTCTTCTTTTTACTGATGATAGAAACATATTTTATAGTCATGGTGATGTACAAGTACTTTGTGACACAGTTAATCATGAGATGAGGACAGAGAGATAACAAAAAGTGATACAACAAAATTTTTGGGATTGGATTATTACATCCATGGGGTAATAGTAGTAGTGGTCATCTAAATTGAATCCTCAAATTACAGAAAAAAGTTCTGTGTGTTATCAACAATGCCAATTATCATGGAATCTAGTACATGAAATTCTCTCTTATATAGCTCTAAAGTTTTAAAAGTTCATGATATCTATTATCTTCAGCTGGGCTCCCTCATGCACCAACTCAACAATAACTAATTGCCTAAATCAACATAGACAACATCATGAATTTCACAGGTCTCATGCCCGGGTTGCATTTTTTTAAAGCTACTGTAAAACGAGGGGCCAAAGCTCTGGAGCTCAATTGAAAATTCATTGACAAAAATTGCGAGTTCCTCTATGTTTAAGGGTAAATATAAATTATTAAGTAACTATTTATATCCAACAATTAAGTTATATATCACAGGGTTATAGCTTACATTATTGTTTGCATGTTTTATTTTTTGTGTATTTACTTTTTGCGGTTGATTGGTAATAATGTTTGTAGTTTTTGCAGTGTTGTCATACATGTGTGTCCATGGAGCCTCCACTCGACAAGCAATGCTTCGTGGGGTTTCCATCCATCAACTAAATATGTACTATCGTTATGTTTGTATACATAATCTGGAAATAAAATGAAATGAATTAATGATTTGAATAACATTTCCAAACATTTTGACAGTATTCATTGTTTGAAATCATACATGTACATTCTACTTCTACTTGCATGGTACTTCATTTTCATTTTGTGGCTGTGGAAGACTTTTTAAGGGGAGTAAAGTCAGAAATTGCACTTGGTTTTAATTCCATCTAGAGAATACAAAGTTGCAACATAGTGTATGCATGAAAACAGCAAAAGATTCATCCTGGTAACATTGCCATGTTCAAAACACACCCAACTGTTGATGTTTGACAGTTGCTGTGCAGGGACAAATGTAATTAAAGAATATTGGGGACCAGTTTGCAGTCAAGTACACTACCTTAACAAATTCTCCAGCATCACAAATTAGCAAAAGAAAATGAAATATTATGTAAACATTTCCATGTGTAGTCTATGTATAGTCAATTTTATAGGATGATATTATGACTTTTTGGAAGCAAACCTCATTTAGCGGGAGAGTGCATTTACTGGATTAGAATGCATAGTGGCTAGGAGTACAATGCATGTTTACCCGCTCAAAAACTAAGCTATTCAGTCAATCTCTGCAGAATGGAAATTTTCTTTTTTAATTTTAGCCTTGATACTTAAACATTCAAAGGCAACAAACGGTGTAGAGCATCATGCTGGAATTTTTGGACTGGTTCACAGCAAACACTCTGTTTGATACTTGAATATTGAAACAGGAATTTTGGTTCATATTTAAATACTGTACCTGCTGGCTCTGTGGTTGGATGATAGGAATCCAACCACACTAAGGAAGTGAATAATAGCACACTTCTCTACTCTTTATATGCCATTCAATGTTTCTAGCATGTGTCTTGGAATGCCATTTTTTCCCATGAGACAAAACAAGTGAGTATACTTTAAAAATACACATAGATACCAGTACATGTATCCATCCTGGGTATTATAGAGTACCGAATATGTTGCACGCACAATGCATGTAAAAGACATTCAGCATGTTCAGTGTGTGAACCAACACATGCGCAGACTTGATTCATTTGCACTACAATTTCTGGTTTAAAATGATGTCACTCTGTGGTATTCCATGTTGGAAGCAGGCCTTTTCCATGGTGCAACCCTAAGTAAAGGTTTGGAAGAACTGAGGAATCTTGTACAGTGTGTACATGTAATGTACATTGTACATGTACATGTATGTATTCATAATTACCATTTGTGTTCTTTTTCTCATACTCTCGAGGAATTTTTGTCAGTGTAAGGTTCCAAATCATAAAAAGTTCAACATACATGTAATGGAGCAGACATTCTTTGTTGTAACTTCATACAATGTACATGTAAGGCAATACTAGTACTCATTTGGTGTTTTTTTTTTTGTTTGCTTTTTCTTCAGATGTCTGCAGTACATTTACATTGAATGCATGTTCATGCAGAGAGCTATGGGTCTACATTTAATAGTTAGGCACACAAAAGGCCTATCAAGCTGGATTCAACATCTCACGCCATCACGGAGGATAGTAAGGTGTCAGAAAGTGCACATGGATATCAAATTTTTACCACCGACAGAACTGGTGTTAAATGATGCAGAGAGTCTGAAGTATCAGACAAAGCAGCATTTATGCACAGGAAACAGTGCACAACAGAGACAGTTCCCATTAACTGCCAGTTCTGATGTCACACCGAGGAGTTGCTCACTGCCTCTGCAGACTGTGACATCAGGGAAGGGGTTCTTGCATCGTTTAGTGCCATCTGATCATGTTCACTCAAGACACTACTCATCCACACAGCCCACCACAGCCTATGAACTGCTACTAACCTCCCGACCTGTCCAGCTTTCCCAAGCACTCCTGGAGCATTGCCATGACCTGACAGGGCTCCCCTGGTGGGCCAGCCTAGTCCTTTCCACCTTCCTGCTGCGGGCTACACTGACATTCCCTTTGGGCATCTATAGCCAATACATCAGGGCCAAGGTGGAGAGGCTGCAGCCTGATATTGTGGCCATGGCCAAGCATGCCTTTGTGAGGAGGTTTGCCGAGAGAGCAAGACTGGAGGGCTGGTCAGAAAAAAGGGCAGAGAAAGCAGTCATGGGATTGGTAAGCTCCATGTACATACATGTACATGTAATCTGCAAAGCAACTTGAATCCTCTCCCCACTCTGGCATATCTATTCCATTGGAATCTGCACCAAAGAGCTTTAGATATGTCACTTTGCCAGAGATGAGCGGGAATAGACAGTGCTTCATAATTCTTCATGCTTGTAGGTTTTGTGGCAAACTCGCTCCTGTGGTCATCTGTGAGACATGGAAACAAACAATTCAAAGCAGAGATTCAAGTAATGGGGGGGGTTGGGGTTCACATTATCTTCACATTATTTTACAAGTACTGGTATCCCTCAGTTGCCTTAAGTTATAGAACTACTTCTTACCAATGCCCCTGACCTGCTGACATCTCACAACTGACAAAACTTTGAACAAGTAAGAAAGCAGACCAATTTAATTACCATGAGACAAGTACATGTACATGTGGAGTAAAAACTAAATTCAGAATGCCCCTAGTGATCTAATTTTTTTGAGGTAGATGGATGGGAAAAACATCTTATTTTGATCAGATCACAAATTCTGGTATTTACATAACTTGCCTTCATTAAACATAGGACCTCTCCCCCCTTAGAAAAATCCTTGGTTATGTTTTTGTTTCATAAAAATGCATGCAGGAAAGTGGTCTCGCAGAGCAGACAACACAATGAAGTACATGTAACTAGAGTGGCACTTTTGACATAGTTATTGTTCCTGATGTGTCCCTCTCAACTAACATTTTCTCAGTTGTTGCTAACAATGATGTGCAAGAGATCATTCCACCAATACCCATGTAGGGAGAAGCCACTCTTTTTGGTTTTTTTTTTGTATTTGCAATTCAAGGGAAGGGGGTAGAGGGCTATAAATCACCTAACATAAGGAATCACTTTTTACAGGGAACTGATTTTTTCAATATTGGTGCTCACAATTAGACAAAAGGAATGGGATGTGAGAACCTCCCATACTCCCACAATAACATCCTTGATCATGTGTTTTCCTCCCCTCTGCAGGTAAAGCATTACTCCAAGGAGTTGTTCATCCGTGATAATTGTCACCCGGCTAAGGGGTCCATTTTGTTCCTGGTACAGTTTCCATTGTGGCTGTGTCTGTCACTGGCCCTCAGGAATATGTCTGGTGCCTTTGCTGGGAACATCTATCAGGGTAAGTTACTGATCTAACAAAATACAAAAATCAGTCATCTCTTTACTCACCATTCACTCCCTGTGCATTTGTAGGGCATAGGATTCGCTGTAGGCATAAAGAAATAAGAAAAAGATAAAAAAAAAAGTGAAGATGGACAGGGGATAAAAATCACTACTTTGTATGAAAATAAATTGGAATTAATTCTCTTTGGCCATAATGGTTTACTGCTTTGATCCCGATGAGTGTTTTGCTACCACCCCCCTGAAAAAATTGCCCACCCATGAAAAGAACAAACACCCCGACAAACAAAAATCCAGGTGCATGCATAGGGTTGGCATCATGTCCAGGTGAATGAAGTGCTATTTTCCAAATCGCGACTTAGTCTCTGGCTCCAACTTTCTCTCAGGCTGCTGAATCATTCCAAAACGTTACATGTACATGTACTTTCGGGAATGAAATAGAAATACTCCAAGCCTTAGTCTGGCATCAGGGTCTCAACTCAGGATACAAGCTGAGGTGAGGAAAGCATTAGCGGGAACTCCAGGCAACCGTTTTTACCATTTCTCCATTTTGTTTTATACAACACCTGAATGAATCTTCATCATCTGATTTGTGGTTCATCTATTACCTACATGTATCATTGACTTATCCAGTTTCTTCAACTGCGGGTATACCACATGGTGGTAGGAAAATGTTGTAACACTTGGTCCGAGGAAGATGCAGTTGCAGCTCTCCACACAAGCATGTGAACTTCCTTTTTGGCTTGGAATGTAAAAACATTTGCATTGCACTATTACGCCAAGCTGAGAAAGTCAAACTGCAACTTGTACACAAAGAGGATTAAGCAAGTGTTGCACAAAATATAACCAAATAAATTTTTCCCATTCATGCAGTGGAAAGATCAGTCATTTTGGTGAAGGGATGAATTATTTTATTCCACTTGTACAGTTTGGCAGTAAACTGTTGCCATGCTTGCAGTGTTTGTTAAAAAAATGCAATTGTCCAAATTTTTCAAATATCAAGTTACATGTACGTGTACATGCACCTGTGATACTGATTTCAAATTGCTGCTTTTTCTCAACTTGTATTCAAAAAAATTACTGATGCTTTTATATTTTCCCTTACAACTTCTATGATTTCTGTTCCGAGAGCAGCAAAATTCGAATGGATGGCATGCATCATAAAGATGCTGTACTAGATATTTCCCTTAGGAACGGACTTCTCTTTTTTTGTTAGTACTACTAAGATATGCTAAAGTAAAAATTAGCATATGAAAAACTTCCATTCAAGTAATCAAAACATAATCAAAAACTGAATGAAATTGGCCATAGTAACTATTGAGTAACGTATGTTCCTTCATTCTCCAAATCCTCTCAGGAGTCCCTTTAGTTCTCAAGAACTTTAAAGCAGTTGATTTTCTTGCTTATTTTTCAACATGCAAATTTAAGAATGGTTATATTATGGTAAATCAGTCTTAATGCAGTCTTTGACTGACAGAGTTGTGAAATGTTCACATCAGTGAGTTTAACCTACTGTCAAATCATATTTGGCGTGTTTGTCCACAGATCCAGCCAGTGTGGTTCCCTCATTGTCAACAGAGGGCACTCTTTGGTTCACAGACCTGACAATGGCAGATCCCATCTACATTCTCCCTGTGCTGGTTGGATTGTTCAACCTGTGCAACATAGAAATAATGGCCTTGCACAACAACCCGGTTTCCCAAAGACAGCGTTACATCACCAATCTCTTGCGTGGCCTGTCGCTGGTCATGATTCCTATTGCAGCTCAAGTGCCAACTGTGAGGAATCATCCCTGTTTTGGTAGACATTTTGATGAACATGTATTTGTTGGCCATTTTATTTTAACACGAGAAAAAAATTGATTGATAAGTTCAGTTTTGTTTCTAGAAATTCTTTATAGTATTGTGCCTGAAAGAGTTTTATTCAAAGAAATAAAACATATTTTAAACAAAAGTAGGCTTCTAATCATGTGTACAAGAATGCAAAGTTACTTGTAGATCACAGGATCAGGCTTTGTGATGCTACAAAACACTTTGTGAAAAAAAATTCAAAAAAGTGTACATGAAGTAAACTGAAAAGAATCCTTGAAACAGGAGTAGTTTGTGAAATTTTAATCCCAAATTATGTGCATTGCATTCAGTATGGAGGTTCAGGTCATCATTATGTGGTGGGGACAGCATGCATGCAATGATGGGAGATACCAAAGAAGCATATGTTCAGTTCTTTAAAAAAAATGCAAAGAAAAGACTGGAAAAACCACATTCGTTTTCTGGTTACATACACCAGTTTAGAGCAAATAGTTCTGTATACTGTATCATGACTTAAACCTAGATATCCTAGTTATCATGCTAGAGGAAGGACTGCATCCTTTTCCAAGTAGTTGAATCAGGTTTGGTCTTGTAGGGACAAAGCTGCCAGAACTTGAAGTCAGACAGAGAGAGTTTGTGAAACAGAAAAGGTTGGGTTCTGTTCTTCCCCACAGAGAGGAAGACTGAGCTGTAGTGTCCGCTGTGAATTTCATTGTCATTTTGGAAATGAGTCATTGATCACACCTTTGAAGTTAATTATTGTATCTAAATTATGGGTTTGGAAACCTTGAAAGGTTGCCAAACTAGCTTCACTATTTGTAATGGGTTTTTAATTTGTCTGCAGAGCAGAAATGGTAGAGTTTGTGATGAATACGTAAGATGCATACATGTACATGTATATGTATATATAACATGAAGTGATAACACAGGAACTCTAATTGTGATTACTGAAAAAGAGCCCTTAGAAAGATTATAAAGGTATTTTCAGGGTTGCAGGAAGGGTACAGTTTTTGTTACATGTAGCTTGAATGTTCACTGACCTTTCCCCATTAGCTTATAGCCACATGTTGATTGTCTTGGAAACACTCAATATTTCAGTTGGACAAATTTTGGACCTCACACACACAATCACTCAAACACTCACTTATTTCAAAGCCATTAGGCTCCAACCTGTTTGGACACCTACCTTGTCAGTTTCAACCTGCTTTCATAATTGATATCAACATTTTGGCACCAAAATCCTGGGTTTGGCATCTTTTCCATCAGATCATCATTCTCTGTATGGTTCTAAGGGCTGGCCATATTTTTTTTCAATCAGTTTTGAGATTACAAACCATACACCACAAGAGGGCATTGGTTGCTACATGTATTTATGTTTTTATCAAATATGAACAAAATAAAAATATTATTCCGCACATGCAAGTTTGTATACGCCAGGAGGGAGAGGGGTGATAGAAAAAGTTACTTGCAACCTACATGTACATGTACAACCGCAAATTAATTGAAAAAAAGGCCTCTGAACAGTTAGTGAAAAAAAAATCATTTATTTTGCTTGTCAATTGTCAGTAATACATGTATGTCTGTTTGTTAACACATAATAGGAAGTCCAATGGAAAGTGATATTTAAGTTACAAGAATACCCATGTTATTGTGTACTCTTTCACAAAATATTTTGGAGGTAGATCCATTAGATTTACACATATTTTTGCATGTTTCTAACCAGGCAATGACTCTATACTGGGCCTCCTCTGCATTCTATGGTCTTGGCCAAAACATCCTCCTGAAATCACCAATAGTCCGCTCGGCCCTAAACATCCCCTTTGCTCCTTCGGACAGTGAGACGCCATACAGGGACATGGCCAACATTGTCGGGACACGATACCTGTGGAGAAAGGGGACTAGTGTTCTGGGAAAGACAGGACAAGATGCTACAGAGAATGTCAAAAGGGAGACTGGGAGAAGTTGTACAAAGGTGCAACAGATGGTAAGTGGAAGGAAGGAGAAGAGGTTATACAGGAGGACCCCAGAGGATGATTCTGAAGAAGGAGCACATTGACACTAAGGAAGATAATTTTTTTAATATTTTGGAAGACTTAAAAAATTCATCAACATAGTAGCAAGCGTATTCATTTGTATCTATGTTGCAGGTACATGTAGGTCTGTAAAAAGAGAAGAGGGAGAGAATATTACATGTTGAAAGTTAAGTGATTGCTTTAACCACTTTGCTCCGGTGGCAGTTATCAATGTTGATGATGCTGGGGTGGGATAATTGGCATTTTTTCTGTTTTCAAAATTCTTTGAAAATTCCTCATTTACTGGACACTTACACCCTGTCAGAATGACCCTGTGGAGTCAAATGACCCCGAGAAGAACATTATTTTCTTTAAAAAGGGTGAGAGCCTCTTTAGTTCACATGGTTGAATGACGAATAAGGAGTTCAAGGTTCATTATGGTCTGACTTGCACTTGGTATTTAATACAATATGAAGACGGCTCAACGTCAATGGTTAAATCAAATCAGTGCGCACTGCTTAATACAGTATTTACATACAATATTTAAATCACAACAGCAACTAATTTTCATTCAATCAAAATCCTAACACCACTCTCAATCGAATCATATGAAACGGCACTGGTTAAGCTTGGAATTTCAAATTTAAAATGTATTGAGAATCCAAAATACAATTCTCAATCAACTGCCACACTGGTATTAAATTACACATTGTTTTGGCTTATTTTGATAGTACAGCCTTTACTCAGCACAATGTGACTGACTCATTAATCAAGTTGCCTTTGAGGATCGTTCACGTAACGTTTACGAGCCCACCTCCCAGCAAATGTTCTAGTCCTGCTATCAGGAAACAGCTGCCGGTGAGACATCAACGGTCCACCGTGTACAGTTGAAAGCTGGATCTCCCTTGCGGAGTTCTCCAGTCAGCAAGCTGGGTATGGTGCGGCTGCCGCTTGGGTAACAGGTACGTTGTCCTTGGGACTTGGTGGATCAGTTCCCCAGTCCTTGGCGATATAATAACTTCAGGGACAGTCAAGCACAAGCCCCACTCTAGTTGGCCATCTAAACAAAACTGTTACCAGCGAATTTTGTGCATCTGCATGCAAACGTACTCGTGACTAAATTCAACTAATTAACTGTAAACGATCTCATCATCTCTAACGATCTAAGGATAAAACTTCATTAATCAGCAAAGATTTAAGTCAGTTTCCCCACAAATTTATGAAATACGATGAGAAACAATTAACCGTTCATACTTAAATCAAAGATCAATTTAGTGTAACACTTGAGTAACTGTAAGGCCTAATTCCAATGAATAAGGTTCCTTATCCTGTCAATATTTACTAAATGCCCTCTTTGATTTAAATGAATCATTTATACAAAGTACTTTATACTGTAATCACCTACTTTTTGCAGTACTGTAATCACCTTCTTTTCTTGAGCCTCTCACCAGCACATAATCTTCAAACTTACAAGCAGAAAATTCAAGATCGGAAGGGTAGGAAAATATTTCAGTACCCTTAATAAACAAGACTCAAGGCTCTGCTTGCTAATATGGCATTCGTCCTACTCACTTTTCTGGCTTGCTACTGCTTCATATATCAAAAAACAATCATCTAGCAACGTCACACCGCCCCAGAAGTCCCAAGGACCCCCAAATCTATTCAAAATTTTCCCGCGACGAACATACCTTTAACCTTCCCCTAGACCAAAACCATTCAACCTTAGACCAACAAAAGATGTGACTGTGGCCAACGACACCATCAAACATAAACATGTACAAGTCTTCTGAGAGGAAAAATAGGCAGTTTTGTACACTAAAAGGAACTTTGTGACACACCCACACGTAGGACTGTCTGGTTTACTCTAATCTGACAGACAACATTGATGCTGGAGTATTTCAGCCAGGCCTGCCGCCTTGTGAAAAGAGCCCAGGTTTTGCCATGTTACATAATTTTCTTTAGTTCGCGACCCTTGCACAGTGCGCTGCCGACCTCTTTTCAATAGGGGCCAGATTAGCGTGCAGTGGTACTGTGTGGCTCATTGCTTCCGTACGAAGCAGAGAGTCAAAAAGATCGGAACGTGTTTCTCAAGAAATGTAATGCTTTTTAAAAATCAAATTTCTTTTGTAATTTAATGTTTTTAAAACAGACTGTACTTTGAATTTTTGAATTCATTTTCCAAAATTGAATGAAATCATTTGTTATTAATATATCTTTTTTGGATGAAATTTTACAGACCTAACATGTTTTTAAGATTCGAATGACATTTTGTAGACCCAACATGTTTTAAGATTCGAAAAACATTTTGTAGACCTGACATTTTTCAAGATACAAATAAAATTTTTTGGACCTAAGATGTTTTTAAGATTCGAGTAAATTTTTTCCAACTTAACATGTTTGAAGATTCGAATGAAATATTTCAGACTTAACATGTTTTCAAAATCCGAATGAAATTTGACAGACGTTTTCCAGATTCGAATGCATTTTCCCCAACAATAAACAGCCGGAGGTTTCGAGTTCCGCACCCACATTTCATCCGAATTCAGAAAGCATCCGAATTTTGAAAGCATCTGATGACTTTAAAAAGCATCCAAATCAAGAAAGCATCCGAATTGAGAAAGCATCCGATCTTTTTGACGATGTTCGGCCCGATGGTAACCAAAGTTCCGAATATTTTGTCCCCGATGGTAATCCGCTCACGCTAAATTCCCCAAACTGTGGTATACTGTTTCAAAACAAGGCTGGATTATCTCGATTATCTCCACTATTGAGAATGAAAAAATTTTGTTAATGCCCAGCAGCCTGGTCTTTTGTTATGAGTACGGTCTTTTGTTACAAGGCCCAGTTCCCTTTGTCCGATTTCAGAGACCCCGGTCACACGTATAAAGAATATGTGTCCGCTACCGGAAACCCGGCGGCAAAGGGGCATGATTAATGTACAGAACTGGAGGTAGGATGGAGAGACATAATGGGGGTAAGAGACGATGTTGTTGGACAAAGGGACATACACAGAAATTATAGACTGTAGCAGTATATTGTTGCCCGCTGTGTAGTCCCTAGACCTACATGTACAGGAATCACCTCTCTGCATTGTCAAAAGTTTTTGTAAGTGATTATGGTGGCAATGAATTCATCTGTTGGCAGTGGGATATTAGATATTTATCAAAACTCGGTCTAAGAGGTACCCCCAAGCCAGTCGGTCATAGATGTGTATTGGTAAGGTGCCCTTACACCACCTTGAACAGCACTGATCTCTCTGCCATGCCAGGGGTTTCTTATGGATATGACTTGTATGGAGTTAAAGGATTCAGGAAATCGCTTTTTGTGTATCTCTGTACTATTCTTCAGTGTATGAAGACTGTTTGACATCTTTTTGAGTTATGTGAACTGAACAGTGCACTTCATCAAACATTAAAAATTGACCAGGCATTTCTTGACAAGTGAGGGCACTTTTGCTTTGATGTAAATCCAGGAAGACATGGTTCAGGTCGCATAGTTTTCATGTTCAAATTTCGAACCCCAAATTTGCTTTCTGGGAACATTTCTGTGAAAGAGATTTTTGCTGGATTTTTGTCATATACTTACATGTACACAACAATAAATTGCCAAAGAAAATGAAATCTGCCATAACAGTGGTTAAAAAAGTCTAGAAATTTTCTGTGCACAAATCGGTGCAGCATTGAGATTCAGTGCCTTAGATGGCGTCATAGTTATGCTCATGAATATGCAAATTGTATTAGCATAAAACCAATAAAGCATCAAAATATGGGTTAAAATTGAAAAACAAACATTTAAAATCAGGTTGATTGAAACCCAAAGATGCAATTTCAGGATTTTTAGTAAAATTTGTAAAAACATTTCTATTTCGTGGTTCCTTTAAAGGTTATTTCATCAGGAAAAATGATAGCTCCATCACATTCTTGTTTTCACTCTGTACGTTGGACAGTTGAGAAGTGTTAAAAAATGTGTCATATTTGCCATTGTTGTATTGTTTTTTGATTGTGTTATTTCATTGGTCTAGAATAGTATCATGACCATCTGTAATGTGGTTACCTGTACCTCATTTGTTCTACTTTCTATATAAAACTTGACATATTGTTGGAGCAGTTAAAATATGTGTATGCCCGAAGGCAAAAATCTACAACAAATGCATATCATGCCCAGCATGAAAGCTCGCAGTAATCAGACAGCTCTGCCTTGAAGCAGTTCATTCATACCATACATATATACTATCTTGTCAAGTAAGCCAAGAGAAAAAACTGAACTGTTTATTTGCCACAAATTTTAGAATTATTTCATGTAACCTTTTATGGTCTTTCTGATAGGTGCGGCTACATATTGAAGCTTTCATTTTAAATCACTTACTAAACTTTTTCTGGTTCCAGCTTTTTTGGCGGGGTCTGACTTGGCACTTCCCATCCCAATCTGCCCTTGTACACGTACATATATGTACATGCAGTTTTAAATACGGCTTTCATTCAATTTTTCAACTAAATGAAAGTAGGCAGAACATTGATGTGAAATGTTGAACAACAATCCTTGCTATCTGGGATGTGATTACCCTCATACTTAACAATCTTGAGCAACTTTATAATCAGTATAAAGTTGCTGACTCGGTTGCTCAAGATTGTTGAGTTATTAGGGCAATATGTCATGACCCTGTCCCCTGCTATGGCATCTTTGAGTAGATATCTTCAGAACAGGTCTTGTTCATTTGAAGCAGATTTTCCAGTGAATCGTGGCCAGGCAACGATCTAGGCTTGGTTGATGGTTACTAATAACATTGACAGAAAAAAAATGATCATACAAAAAGTAGGTACACAAAGTGCTAGCTTCATGTTAAGTGTTTGATTGATCTGTCACGTATATCACGTTTTCCTGAGGCTGAAGTTGGCAGTCTTTAAAGGATTGATGCAATAAAGTTTTTCTTAGAATCGCTTTTTGTGCATGATTAAACTCTCCTTAAACGTATGAAAACTGTTTCAAAACTTTTTTAGTTAAGGGACCAAAAAGTACACTTTTTAAACATACAAATTGACCACACTTTTCCAGACAAGTGAGGGTGCTGTTGGTGTGATGTAAATCCAGGAAGACACTGTTCAGCTAATGTATGTTTTTGTGTTCAAATATTGGATCCCAAATTTGCTTTTTTAAAACAGTTCTGAGAACTTGTTTGCTGGCTTAATACACAATAATTTTGTGAAAAGGAAATGGAAATCATGGATGGCAAAATACAAACAGCAAGCAGTTTTTCATGCACAAATCAATGCAACAGCTGCATGCCTTGGATTACATCACAGTCATATTAGATTTTTAAAAGTCCCAGAAATGGAGATAAAATTAGCAAAACAAAAATTTAAAATAAGGTAATTTTAAAAACAAAGGTGAAATTTCAAAGATTTTACTAAAATATTTTTATTACTTGTCCCTTTCACTATCTTAAGGATATGCTGTGACAGTAGCACTGCACCACACTTGCTTTGACTGGAAGAATAATTGTTCATGTAGATGTACAAGTGCTTCACATCTGTGCTTCCTTGTTACACGCCATCCATGTCCCAGCACTTAAGCATTGCACAATAATTCATCGCCAGGAATGATCTGTTTTACATCGTGTTAAATGAGCTAATCGTTTGCCATCATCATTCTTTCATGACACCCACTTTACACAAAGAAACTCAGACATGTCTGTTTTGTGGAAAGTGGGTGTCATGAGTGTGGGTCTGTGTTACCCGGTTACCCTTTTTTCAGTTGAGGTGGTGTATCGTTGCGGTTGTTATCGGTTGTTAAAGAGCGGAATGTACGCGCTCCCTATTAGGATTAGGCGGACTTTACAGAGACAATCCTGGACAAATCTTGTTGGAACATGCCTCCCCCTCGCCCTCTGTCAATGTTGTTTCTCATTGGGTAAGCTGGGTCGAATCCTTGAACTCTGTTTGGCTGGCAACCTTTACATCTTACATTCCTCCCGCTCTACTTTCCTCTTGCTCTACTTTTCACAATCCCACCCGCTGCACTGATGTTAAATGTATGAACATGCAGGCTGACTCTTGTTCATCTTATTGTTTATCATGGTACACTACCTTTGTTGTCACTCGACCTGCTAGAATTCACGTCAGTGTTAAATCTGCCTACAGCAGAAGGCTGTAACTTACTACCCGAACTATTACGCTTCGTTTCATCTGCCGCACAACTTCATCCTATCCAGTGATGTTGAGCTTAACCCTGGCCCTACAAGGTTCCCCTGCACTTTCTGTGAGAAAACAGTGAAATCCAACCAATGGGGCATATGTTGTGATGTATGTGACCTTTGGACTCATGCCAGATGTGCCTCAGTTAGCATCAAGGATTACCAACAATTGTCTGTTTCCAACAACCAATGGCTCTGCAGAAAATGTCTTCTACACAAGATCCCCACTCTGCCCTGTTCACCAGATTCATCACTTGTCAGTGAATTTGTCCTCCACCGCATCCTCCCTAACTGGCACTCACACTAACCTGTCCAAGCCTTGAAAGAGAATTGGAGGAATCATTTTCAACACCCGGAGTCTAGGCAACAAACTCTGACTCTTCCAGTCCGAGGTAGAGCTGAATAACCCTGACGTAGCTTTCATCACAGAGATTTGGCTTGATAAAACTGTGTACAACGGTGAAATCTTACTGAACCCTAACTACAGTATCTACCGTAAGGATCGTAATAGGCACGGTAGCTGTGTCCTTAATCCCTGCTGCCAATCACCTTCACCCTACACATGCTACATGTATCAGCGATTTTGAACATGAAGAACTGGAACTTCTCTCGTTGGAAATAGAATCTGATCATGGTAAAAGTCCTTTTCGGTTGCTTGTATAGGGCTATAGGCCACCTAACAGCTGTGCCATTTTTTTGTTTATTACAATCAGTTTTAGACCTTGTTCTCACATATTCACATAATTACTTGGCTATTGTTGTTCTGGGTGATTTTAACATGAATTTTATCCACCACACAGCGTCCAGTACAGCCAGCCTTCAAGAACAGCTTACTGTCGGACACTCTTAACTTGCATCAATTGTTTAGCCAGATTACTCGTAAATCCTCTGACAGTTTATTGCAGGGGTCCATACTAGATCTGGTCTTCTGTAATAAACCTGACCTGGTACACCATATTTCCGTAATACCTGGGTTAGGCTTGAGTGATCACAATGGTGTCTCTTTTTAGCTGACCACCGCTGTTAGTATTAAACGTGTGAACCGCACATTTTACCAGTACAATAAAGCAGATAAGACTTCTCTTTGTGACACCCTTGCTCATATCAATTGGGACTTTTATTTGTCACCTGGGTTTGACATTAATCAAGTTTGGGATAATATCAAGGATCTCTTGTTTGCAGCTGTTCAAGATACTGTTCCGGTAGCTAGACAAAGAGGGAAAAGAAGACTGCCTGGGATATCTAGTGAAATAGTCACCTTGGCAAGGAAAAAGCATAGGGCTTTAAAAGCTGCTGTGCGATGTGGCCGTAATGCTCATCTTTGGGCCAAAATATAAGTCCTATAATAACTACATTCAGGACCTAGCGCTAAATTGCATCGCTAATGCTAAGCAATTTTGGTCTTTAGTTCTAACCGTAAAAAGACCTCCAGTTCTAGCCTCCGTATTGGTGACTACATCACTAGTGATCCTAGTGCCATCACTAGTGAATTTAGTGCTAAGTTCTAAAATAATTTTACCAAAGATAATGACGTATCCTGTACTATTACATGTAATCATGCTTGTTATAAATTCCGCCTGTCCAGGATTCAGACCAACAATTTGAGGTCAAGAAATCACTGAACTCTCTTCAAGCGTACAAATCACCAGGTTGCAGGTCCCGACGGTATTTCTCCCATGTTCTTCAAAATCGCTGCAAACAGTTTTGCTTACTCTTTAACTTTGATTTGTCCATAAACACTGGTAAGGTCCCCACTGAATGGAGATTCACCAATGTCGTCCCCATACACAAATCCGGTGACCCTCATAACCCTGCCAACTACAGACCCATTTCACTTTGCAGTCAGTAAATGGTCAGTAAATGCCTGGAAAAAAATCATTGCACGCCATCTTGTTACAGGGGCAGTATTGTCTCTGACTGCCAGCATGGCTTCCCCCCTAAAAGGTCTTGCATTAGCCAACTCACTACTTTATATTATCATTGGGCTGCTACTTTGGACGCTGTGAATCCCCTTCGCATTGACGCCATCTTTTTGGATTGGTCAAAAGCGTTTGATCGGGTGAGTCACAGTGTTCTCCAAAAGTTACATAAATATTGTAGCTTTCTATGTGGGAAAAAGACTGTCCAAACTCTATATCTGAACTCGCTGTGTTATTTCTCCACTTCCTTTTGATGCTTGTATAACCACTGTCGTAAGATATAATGCTGCTCAACAATGCAGTGGTTGTGCGGTTATGTGATTGTGCAGTTGTGCGGTACACTGCAGTAAACCTGTCACAGAGTGATATTAAATCGAAATCACTTTTAAATTAATAATACCGTATAATTTTGGCCCTAATTGTTGAAAAGATAAACATGGTATTTAGTGGTGAAACAAGATTTTATTTTCTTGAGCCGCCACACCCAAACATTCCTGAAGTCAGTCAACCTTACCAGAATGATGGGCTGAGTGCCAGTTGAGTTGTTATTGGTTGATGTAGCCACTTATGCATTAATTTGAATAATGAATATTTATGAAGGGTACAGTACCCAAAACATTTTGAGTTCTTTGGAATAAGGCGTGGCAGTGCTGGAATCTTTCCTTCGGGTTTAAAAGAAAAGATATGGGGTGATGTGATCAGTTCATTACTGGATTCCGAGGAGAGGGCAGCGGCCAGCCTCGATGACTTGTAGTCGTGAGTCGAGTTAGTCTTTAGATGAGTGACTTCTAATTATGAAAGTAGAATAAACTACATGTACATTTAGACTGTTCTGAGAAACGGAAAGCCAGGAAACGCCCAGTTCCTGTAAGTTAGCCATGTATAAATATGATATATTGGATATTTATTTTATACATTTATTCCTTGCAAAACCAGATCTTGAGCCAGTGAAAATGAGATTTGCCGAGATATTGCATAAAATCCTTATTGATTTAAGTTGAGGTTGTTGCAACACTGAAACAGTTATCTTGAAAGTTGGCACACTTCATAACTCTTCAGATTCATTAATGAATATTTTGCGTTAAATGTAACTTGGCCAGAAAAACCAGAAACATGGGAAGATGGTGGTAATTTTCAGGGTTTTACGTTAAGAGGAAGAGGGAGTCAGTTGACCGGTGGTGACAAAAGGGTTGGACCGCGGCGGCGGGATGTAGAAACTTGCCGAGTCAGCCACAGGCCACAGAAGCCGACTACAACGCAAGAAACAGAAGCACCATGGTGGCGGGACATTGAGGCACCCGTCACCTCATTTATATTGTAATCAATAACAATGTTAATGTAAGAAATAATCCTTATTTTGTGTTCTTTTATAAATAAATGTAAATATTGTACAGGCAAAACAAATTTCCAGCAATAAGTGTGTATATATTCGTGTCTCAGCTACCAAAGGTCTGTCCCTAAGGGTAGGACAACTCTAGGGGTGTGACAATTGGCGACCTTGCCAGGACTGGAAGGCGTATTGTTCTCTATTTGCTTTTATTGCAGCTATTAATTTTGGAAGATAAGAGTTCATCCTTATATGTTGATACATACACGAGGACAGTATATTCATGGTGAATGAATGATGAAAGTTAACTATTTGATATTTGTACAACTAAGAGTAAGGCCTGTGTATCTGTTGCTCTCACTTGCATTTTTCCTGGTACTTGGGCACGTAGCAGCATGGAATTTGAGAAATACCTCACACTTGGTAAATCCATTGGCCTTGAAGGTAAAGAGTTATTGGACTTTCCTCAGAGTAGAGAAGCAAAAGATGAGAAAACTAGGAAAGAGAATGCTGAGCGTGAAGAAAGAGCAAAAGATAGAGAGCATCAAAAGGAAATGAAAGCACTAGAGCTTAAACTTGAAGAAGCTAAAAAAGAGACCAAAGCAATGAAAAGTGAAACTAAACCAGCGATGAAGCAACCCAAGTTACTGGCATTCAATGATGGCAAAGATGACATGGATTCATTTCTTCGTCGCTTTGAAAGGTTTGCCGAGACGGCTAAATGGCCAAAGGCAAACTGTTAGGCAAAGTGGTCTGCTCACTGGAAAGGCACTTGATGTTAATAGTAGATTGCCTGTAGACAAAGCTAATGATTTTGATGCACTCAAGTCGGCATTACTCCATAGATATCAACTCACTGAAGAAGGTTTTCGTATGAAGTTGAGGACCACAAAACTTGAGACTTGTGGAACCTTTTCGCAATTTGCCATTCGCCGAGGAAGCTACTTGAATCGATGGGTTGAACTCGGGAATGTACAGAAATGATATGATGACTTGTGTGATCTTTTTTTCAGAGAACAAATTTTGTCAGTTTGTGGTAAAGATCTGGCCCTTTACTTAAAGGAAAGAAAGCCCACTAGCTGTCGGGAAATGACACAGCTAGCTGACAAGTATGTTGAAGCACACAGACGACTAGGTTATGATAACAGTAATCGGAGGTTCCCGAGACCACTTAATTTAGAACCAAAAGGAATGGACACTAAAGAGTCCAAACCCCAACCTCAAGTCAGACCTCAGGGAGAAAGGGGAAATTTCACCGAACAACGAGAATGTTTTGTTTGTGGAAAGAAGGGACACCTTGCTCGAAGTTGTCGATATAGACACCAAAGTAATGTACATGGTGATAGTAACAGACCTCAGTCTTTTAGTTTACAGGTAGAAAGTACCAGTACCAAGGATCAGGTCGAGGGACATGTACTTGATGTCCCCGTTGAAGAGGTTTAAGTTGCTGCTTGCGTCACAAAGAAGTTTGCTCTGAGGGAGAGTTCAGGTGTATCAAGGGAGCCTGGCAAAGCGACAAGTGGGCATGAGATTCCTCTCATCAGTGCGGCTTGTACTGTTAGTAAGGATATGCCAGTAAGGGATGGTTATGTTGGTGAAAACATGGTCAGTGTGCTCAGAGATAGTGGCTGTAGTACCGTTGTAGTGAAACGCGATCTTGTAACCGAAAATCAGATACTTGAAGCCAAACAGAAGTGCGTACTGTTTGACGGAACTGTGCGTTGTGTTCCAGTTGCACGGATTTGTATAGACACACCATATTATGTTGGAACAGTAAATGCGCTGTGTATGCCAAATCCACTATATGGCTTGATCGTGGGTAACAACACGGATGCAAGGAATCCACAAAACCCTGATGTAAATTGGGCGCGCCAAAAACCTCCAATTAATACGTCGAACTACGTTGAGAGGCGCGTGCCACTCCCAACCGATCGCTAGACACACCATCAAGTTAAAGTGAGCTTGAAACAGATTTTGCACCGAAGAATGCAAATCTTAGTGGCAACAATGATGTGTCAGCTGCAGTCGAGACACGTGCGCAGAAAGCGAAACGGGCTATGGACTTGCAACCACTTAGAGTACCGGAAGCTCAAAGTTTCTCGGTATCGCGTTCCGACATCAGACAGGCATAGGTTCACGATCCAACGCTGCAGAATTATTGGAAACGTGCTCGAGATGGCACAGTTCAGAAAACCGGTCGCGCAAATGAGGTCAAGTATTTCATATCAGATGGACTTCTATTCAGAGAGTTCAAATCGGCGTCTGTAGAAAATGGTCGAGCAATTACCCAAATGATTGTGCCCCAGGAAATGAGATCAAAAGTTCTCAGATTGGCGTGTGATGGCTGGTCACCTCGGTACGACAAAAACCACCGATCGTGTGTTTGCTAACTTCTTTCGGCCGGATGTACAGGGGGATGTTCGGCCATACTGTACCTCGTGTGATACGTGCCAAAGAACTGTCGACAAGGGTCGAGTAGGGAAAGTATCACTTGGTAAAATGCCACTGATAGACACCCCTTTCCGACGTGTAGCGATAGATCTTGTACGACCAATCGACCCAGTGACAGATCGCGGTAATCGGTACATCTTAACTATGGTCGATTATGCCTCACGCTACCTAGAAGCTGTTGCACTACTGCGAATTGAGACGGAACGTGTTGCAGAGGCTTTGCTAGAAATATTTTCGCGGGTAGGAGTTCCTCATGAAATGCTGTCAGACATGGGAACGCAATTTACCAGCAACCTTATGAAGGAGATTAGCAGACTTTTATCGGTCAAACAGTTACATACCACACCGTACCATCCAATCTGCAACAGTCTCGTGGAAAAATTCAACGGAACACTTAAACGCATTTTTCAAAAAATGTGCAGTGATCGACCGCGCGATTGGGACCGCTACCTTTCCGCTCTCTTGTTCGCATATCGGGAATGTCCTCAGGAAAGTCTTGGCTATTCTCCGTTTGAACTGATATACGGACGCACGGTCAGGGGACCACTCGCAATTCTGAAAGAATTATGGACCGGAACCGTAGAAGATGAGGAGGTCGAAAACCACATACCAGTACGTGATTGATTTACAAGACAAACTTGAGTCCACGTGTAAGCTCGCTCGTGAAGAACTCTCCAAGTCTAGTGCAAGGTACAAAAAGTACTATGACTCGCGAACCAAGGACAGATCATTTGAGGTCGGTGACAGAGTGTTGGTACTTTTGCCAACAGACTCCAATATAAAACTGTTGATGCAATGGAAGGGTCCATTTGCAGTGTTAAGACGCGTAACTCAGTTTGATTTTTGCATTGACGTGAATGGAAAAGAACGAACTTTTCATGCTAACTTGCTTAAACGATACGTCACCCGCCAAGAACCACAAAAGGAAGAAATTGTTCACGCAGCACTTAGGCCTAGTCTAAGGCACGTCTGTACAAGTGTCGTTGAAGAAGATGAAAGTTCTCCGGAAATGCAAAAACTAAAACTCTTCCCATTTGAACAAACTGAAACATGGTCTCATGCAGAAATTACCAATGATCTAAATGAATCGCAAACAGAACACATCAAAGAACTGTTGAAGGAATTCCCTGATGTATTAACCGATATCCCTGGCCACACTGATATAATCGAGCATACCGTAACACTCACAACTGATGACGCAATATATTCTAAGGCATACCCTGTTCCATTCGCTACTCAAGAGACAATCAGGAAAGAAATAGACGCAATGTTGAAAATCGGTGTAATCGAACGTTCACAATCGAAATACGCATCACCAATCGTGTTAGTCCGAAAGAAAGATGGAAGTAACAGATTTTGTGTTGATTTTCGGAAACTCAACAAGGTAACCGTGTTTGACGCTGAACCCATGCCAAATGCAGAAACTTTGATGGGAAATGTTGGCGACGCAAAATTCGTCACAAAACTAGACTTGACCAAAGGGTACTGGCAAATCCCAATTGCTGATCATGATAGAGACAAAACTGCATTCATAACGCCTCACGGAATATATCAGTTCACAGTTCTCCCGTTCGGAATGATAAATGCGCCGGCAACATTTACACGCATGATGAGGAAACTCCTTGAGGGTCAATCTAATGTAGTCAATTTCTCTCATTCATTCGCGGATCATCTAAAACACGTCAGAGAAGTTCTGAACCGTCTCCGTAGGGCTAACCTCACCGCAAAACCGTCAAAGTGCAACATCGCGTGTAATACTCTCGAGTTCCTTGGACATGTGATTGGTGAGGGAAAACTGGCTTCACATCCCGATAAGATTGTCAGAATTCTCAATGCATCACGACCACAAACCAAAAAAGATGTCCGATCTTTTATGGGACTGATAAACTATTATCGTCGTTTCGTACCGAACTTCGCCGCAATCGCTGTACCATTAACTAATCTCACCAAAAAGGGAAATCTGACAAAAGGTAACTGGGGCGCAGCTCAAGAACAGGCATTCAAAACTCTCAAATCTCGCCTAGAAACGACACCAATCTTGCACTTACCTGATCATAATCGCTCGTACGTGTTCGGAACTGACGCTTCAGATGTAGGGATACGTGCGGTTTTACTACAGTCGGGCAGAGATCAATTGTTCCCGGTCGCCAACGCCAGTCGCAAGTTGTTGCCGCAAGAAAAGGCATATGCAGCCGTTGAACGTGAATGCTTAGCATTGGTTTGGTAATTACGAAGTTCCATATCTACCTCTACGGCAAACAGTTTCTGGTTGAAACTGACCATCACCCTCTGGCCTATCTTACAACCGCGAAGGTGAACAACAGCAGATGCATGCGATGGGCATTGTTACTGAAACAGTGCAGATTCACTGTCAAGGCCACAAAGGGCTCTGACAACATTGGAGCAGATTTCTTGAGTAGATGTCCAGGCAATGAGTAAACTGGGTTTGTGAACTAAATGTAAAGAGCGATTTGTAAATTATGATCTGCTTTCTAATTGCTGTCCAGTAACTGTAACAAAATTAGTGGAAGCATTCGCAAAATCAAAGAATTACTGGACAAGAAGATGAGCTAAAGGTTATAATTGTATACAGAAATTGGAATTGTACAAATGTCCAATTAAGAAATGGATAAAGGTATGGTGATCTTGAATATTTAATTTAAAGAGTAAT